CTCAAAAAAATATTAGATTATTACATGATTTTTTAGATTATATTAGAAATATATTTCTTCATTAGTAAATAAATATAAAATATCTCATAAAAACATGTGTGTTGGAGTGTAAAATAAAAATATTATATATATGAATTACTTGTATGTGCATGATAATATGAGTTCACTTTCTCATTGTACTAGTTAAAGACACAAATGTACCGCATGCACGTAGATGTTTTTCTACCACCTCAAGTAATCATGAAATTTAAATCACGAACCGCTGCGCCGACAATAAAATATTGGTCAAAAGTATGTAGTATATTTTCACCTAATACAATAGTATACTTATTTTACACCCCGGTGTGCTGACGGTATATCTATCGGTTAGGAGTGTGATATGTTATGTTTCTTAAGATAAATGTACAAATTAAGGGTAGAATGTGCATTAAAATCTAAAAGATTAAACCTTGAAAAAAAAAAGTAAAAGTTAATGAAAAATTTTAAATTCTTTACAAGAGCAAATATCATGAAATATAATTATTTAGTTTATTATACGAATTTTTATAACATTATAAAAAAGACTAGCATACATATCAGCTTCATTTTATTGAGTTACTATAATTTATAAGTGCAATTACTTCACTGGACTATTTTGATAACTCATTATGTTATTTTCTTATTTTCAGACAAAAATGAGTAATAGATGATAAAAATATTTTTAGAAGATGTGGGCAACCTGAAATAAAGTAAATTTAACTATTTTAATTTAATTTCTTTTCTATAATAGTTATTCAATTTGTTTTTGTGATGATTATATGTAGTGATAGAAAATGAAAGTTAGTAGATTTTAATTTCACCATCCAACAATATGTTCTTAACTAATTCGATATACCTCCTAGCACGTGCTAACATTGCAATTATCATCATCTTTCAGCTTCTCCATCTAATACAAATGCAACTAGAGACAGCTTCCTCTCATCTGGGAAAGACATGGTATCCAAAATCTTCTTTATCCACAATAGCCAATTTTCAGTGTTTATTGATCATTTAGTTCCCATAACTTCAAATATTTATCAATAGTAAATGTAATATTATTTTCATTAGACTCTAATCCAGAGTCCTGAATAAGTTGGGTCATAACGACCATCATCTGGGCTAAATTCATTTGTATTCACAGTGGCACTAGGTGGTAATTCCTCTTCAACTACAAGAGCATCTCCCCAATCTCTTCTTTAATATCCACATGTCTGAGATAATAATAATATTATCTAATTAGAGTTAACCTAAGTTAAATTACTTAAATCACTTAGATATCATTTTTGTCATAACCCAACTCACGGATTTGGACTTTTAAAGGTGGGAACAAATGGTCGGTCGGACGATAAAATTAAAATTTTTAACTTTCATTTTCTATCAATATAGTTAATCATCACAAAAATAATTGAAAAAATTATTACAGAAAAGATATTAAATTAAAACAATAAAATTTACCTTATTTTAGATTATTCGCGTCTTCTATGAATGTTTTCTCCTCTATTATTTATTTTTACATGAAAATATTAAAACATAATGAGTTATCTAAAATGACCAATTAAAATAATTACACTTTTAAATAATATTAACTTAATAAAAATAAAACAATAGATGTTTATCTTTCCAATTGTGATATAAAAAATTATATAATAATCTAAATAAAATATTCATGACATTTGCTAATTGAAAGAGCCTAAAATTTTTATATGTATTAACTTTTACTTCTTTTTTTTCAAGATTTAATACTTTTAATGCACATCTAAATTTTAAATTGTACATCCGTCTCAGGAGCACCTTCTAAATATAAACTAATGAGGTTGTCGCCTTGATTTGGGCTGAGGAGAGTTGATTAGGCATTATGCTTGTACAAGGGACAAATGAAGAATTTGTCATAATTGCACAACAAAACACCAACCAAAATAAAACTAAAGGTACATCCCAAAATGACCATCGAGATCATCTTTGGTGCATCCACTACAAGAAGTAGAGACATACCAAGGTTCATTGTTGGAAGTTGCATTAAAAATCTCCTACATCAAAATGATAAAAAAATTCATCATCAAGTCTACACCACAAAATTCAATTTACAAAATTTAGTCGAACAAAATGCTAAAAGGACTACTTCTAGCCATCTTAATCTACCTGAGATTGAGAAGCTTTGTAGTTTATTAGGGTCATTAGAAAAGCCTAGTGGCTCATGTCATTAGCATCCTTTGGCAAATCCCTCTCTTATGGATTACAAGCCTTGAGCAAGTTTATATAATACTCTTAGGTCATTGACTTGGGAGCCACAAATCACATTACATATTACTCAGTCCATTTTATAACATTCACCTTATTCTAACAATAGAAAAATTATTGTTACATATGGTTTTGTTATGAAAGTGGCTAGTGTTGGTCATATTAAGTCGATTTCGTCATTGTTATTAAAAGATGTATTATATATTCCCAAATTATCCACTAGTATTTTGTCAATTCACAAACTAACCCATATTATGAACTGTAATAACTTGTTGTATATTTCAGGATCAATTTTCAAGGAAGATGATTGGCCTTGCTAAAAAAAAGGAAGGTGGCCTCTACTATCTCTATACATCAGCCTCATACAGACCTATTATCAAGCATATTTTCTCAACGTTTGTTTTTTTTTGTTTCAAATAAAGATGTTATTCGGCGTCATCACTTTCATTCAAATCATCCTTCATTTATTATTTTAAAGACAATGTTTACTTATTTGTTTAAAGAAGTTAATGTTCAGAATTTTTGTCAAACAAAAAAGAATTTCTTTGGAAATTAGTCATAATAGAAATTCTTTTACTTTTTATTTGATGCTTATTGATATATGGGATCCCTCTAGAAATCCCAATGTTTCAGGAGCTCGGCGGTTTGTTTCTTCCGTCGATGATTGCACAAGAATCTTGTGAATTTTTCTTGTTAAACATAAATCCAATTTGACCACCAATATTCACAACTTTCTTGTCATTATACATAACCAATTTAGTGTCAAAGTAAAAAGGATCCAATTTGATAACGCCATAGATTAATTTAACGTAGTTTTTTTTACAAAAATGGATAGTTCATGAGTTTTCCTACACAAATACTACTCAATTAAATGGGATTCTGAGAGAGAAAAAAAAAATGAACACTTAATTGCCACAACCCATGTTTTACTCTTCCAAAACCAAGTTCCAAAATCTTAATAAGGGGAAGTTGTCCTTACTATAACCCACATTATAAAGTGATTGCCCTCCAAAATATTAGGTAATCAAACCCCTTATGCAACTCTTCTTTCTGTTTTATCCAAATATTTGAACCACAAGAAAAATCTTACTCCTCGAGTCATTAGTTGCCATGGTTTTATTCAGTGCCTTATCATAACAAAGGTAAATAAGATTCACGAGCAATTGTGTGTGTGTTGGCCATTCTCCAACACAAAAAATGATAAGTGATATCACCAACCTACAAAAATAATTTTATGTCTCTGTTAATGTCACTTTTTGAGGAAGGCCAATCTTTTTTCTCTCAACCTTATCTGCAAAGGGAGTCTAGCTTTATGGGGAAGAGAAAAAAAAACCTACTCTTTCTTGACCTACACACATTACAGCATTACTCATCACGGGAGTCCAAATCACTTTTAATGAGAACCATCCTTACAGCCTGAATTACCCCACAAAAATCAAACCCTAAAATGGTTGAAATAGTCGTTACCAATGACAAATTTTACAACATAAGGTATAAGTGTACTCGAGAAAGAGAGATCTGAAACCTAATCTTATGCAATACCAAAACTCAATTTCTGATTTCTATATATATATATATATATATATATGTATATATATATACATTAAACATATTCATAGATTTCATAAGATAAAAAATAAAGGAATTATATTCCATTTAAAGCACTTGTTATTAATTCATCACAAAACGAATGCATTAAAAATATAATTATATTTCAATTTCAACCCAAAAACTTAGTCAAATTCTAATAATAAAATGGTCAACATAAATGATGGTTCAAGAAATTAAAACAAAAGTTGCCATAGCACTTTTATTAAACTATTTACAAACCATTTAAGTTTCAATTTTCTTTAGTTATTACAATAGACATCATAGCTTGTGAACCACAAGATTAATTTTGTTCAATAATACTAATAATGTGCTGTGTTATGAATGAAATAAAGCATCGCTGTTGCCACAAGGGTAGGCATGCTTATCAGCAAATAGTTTTCCCATAATAGTGAAATCTAAATGAGGTGCATACACAAGGTGGTTGAGCGCTTGGCATACAATAAAAATTGTGATTTTGGTTTTTGGGAAGCAATGCAAAAGCAACCAAATAGTAAAATAATGCAAGTAGTTTCATCATGAAAATAATTTCATTTACTATCTTATATCATCATCAGCAAAGTTTTTCTTTTTAACTTCCACAACTTGGTTACTTGTAAGCCAACTTCATTCCTTGCTAGTTATATGAACTATATGGTTCACAAATAGTTCTACCCAAGCATATGCATAAAAAAGAGGGTACCTGAACTTCACTCGATAAGAAGATGATGTAAAAAAGAATGTAAACTACATAACATGATTCTTCAATTGTTCTATTCAGATTTGCACATATCTACAGCCTGCACAAAGTTTGCTCTAAATAAGTAGGATGAAAAAAATAAAAATAATCCATGATGTCCAATCTAGACTTGCAGTTCCAACATGGGATCGACCTCAAATTTAAGACTCAAGTAAAATCATAATGATGTAGATGTCATTATAATACAACAATACGAAGTTAAACATGATTCAGGCAACATAAAATAAGAAGAAACAGACGTGATATTAAAAAAAAAATGAGACAATCATGACAAGCCATTTATAACTTTGAATTTAATAAGCGTAATGCAAAGAAGAATAGCTCAAGAGAAGATTAAACCAAGCAATAATTCAAACAGAAGCTACAAGGCATGTACTAAAAAGCCAAGCTGACTTACCACTTTACTGATGATGAAGAGATGAACCGTAGCGTGGTTTTTAAAGTAAAATCTAAAGGAGCCCTACGTCCTGATATGTGAAATTCAGGAGATAATTTTCTTACATAAGCTGAAGGTAGATCATTTTTATTGCTAGAAGCACCGATAAATGAACCAGGTATGGAAGATTTATCTCGAACAACCAATCCTTTCAGTGCTTTCTCCTATCAATAGAAATAAAACAAATAAAAAAATGTAGGCTATATAAGATTGTAAAATTATCATAAATCCTAACACTTACAATATCAACTTTTGTAGAATCTAATGGCTTTGCATCGCCTAAGTGAATCTCAACAACATTACGCAAAGCACTTTGGCTACACTTTTCAATCTTCCTAAAACCTCGGTCATCAGATGCTTTGCTAGATGATTCAGAGCTCTCCAATTTTGCAGAAGATTCAACTTTACATCTATAACAGAACACAAATCATGTAGCAAATAATAATTCATTCTAATAAAAGTAAAAATTTGTCAAGTAACCAGTATATATATATTATTCATAGTCATGAATGGCTAAAAATAGTACCTTGAGAGTGAAGTTATGTTCTCGGATGGAAAGTTCTCAACAACATATGGGTTATCAAGGCCATTCGAAATTTCAATGTTAGATGCAACATCCTGCTTTTACAGAAAAAATGAATTTAGAACAAATCACTAACATTAGAACTTTTAAGTAGTCCTAGTAACAAATCTGCATGAATGCTAAGCGGCAAACTGCAATAAGAATTAAAGTCTCAAATAAACTTGAATGCAAATGTTCTCACCTTAATTTTGTCTTTTCCACGGAGCACTCTAAATATCTCACTTGATTTCCTCACGGGATACACCTCACTAACCCTAGTGTCAATATATCTAGGAGCCTTAATCCATTCAGGTTTCTTAAGTTCATTGTCTGCTCCACTGTTTAACCAATAGAAACCTCCAGTGAGCGAACTAAAAGCAAAAAAATATTAAAATAAGGTCAAGACCAATAGTATGGGCTCACCTTTCAGATAATAGCATCTTAGCAATTTTTTCATCTGAATGTATAACACCATTTTTCCGTTTCAACTGCTCACCCTGCCAGGCAAAAGTGTGCATTCAAGCATTAAAAAAAGAAGAAAAATGTCAACAACATTAATGATTAACCATCAACTAATTTGCAATTCTACCAAGCAATAAAACAGTCAGTGAATTGTCACAGAAAAATAACTCAAGCAGTCTAGTGTAGTTGAATTTCATGTTGCTCGGTATAAATAATGTATCTCTAGTCAGTAACTATACGGTTACAAAGTAATGAAAGCAAAACAGAAGGAAGAATACACTCACCCTAAGTTCCGAGGGAGTTTTCCTTTTCATTTTCAAATTAGACTGACACCTTCCGACAGGAAGGATGTCAGCTGCCAATGAAGAATCAAAGATAGCAGCTTTAGCCATGAGACCCGGCCTCTAATGATGCATCTTTCTCGTTCCACAAATATGATGCCCAGATAAATATATTATGCAATCAATCCACTGCAGGAAACCACTTCATTATTAACAAATGAAACAAAGAACAATAACTCAATCTACAAGCCGCAAAAACATAAAATAACAATAAAAAACCTAGACTGTTTCTTTTAAATTATTTTACAGACTGGAACCGCGGCATTTTCCTGACAATAAAAAAAGGGGGATTTACCTCTGTACCACGAAATGGTTTGGCATTTACATATCAAACGTCTTATTGTTAATATGTACTAAACTGACAACAAAACACTTTTGGGTTGAACTTTAAGGACTTAACATACATCTCGTGAAACAAATAAAGATGGCAAACTTAATCCCTATTGGTCGTTTAAAAAATTTAGAAATTGTCGGCCACCAGAATGGATATCCCGACACCCGATTTAAAAAAAAGGTTTAATTTAATATATATATATATATATATATATATTATATACATAATTTGAAAAAAGTGATATTTTAATTTTTGAAAATACAAGACCGAATCGATCTCATATCTGCAATAGTTTAAATGATCTAGCACAACAACGCAAACAATACATCTATCCCGAAGGATAGATACACTACTTGCTAGTGATGTTCAATTAAATAAACTAAAGAATTTATGACATCTGTTTTAGTCTGCGAACCTTTATATTGACCAACAAGTTTTCCTACCTAATATTAAGAATTAGATATGATTTATATTACCTGGGTTATTAAATCTCCCTATAGAGGTAAGCCCGTATAATTAATTACCTCTCAAATGACTGAAGTCACTTAAGAGAACTCTCGATGATGATCAGAGATATCAATCTTCATTAATACAAAGTTTAGGGTTTCCAAGGTTGGACATAGAAAAGTCAAGTAGGAAAAGGACCAAATAGGAACAATTATTTCTGGAGACAAAGGAAAGAAAAGTAGGGGATGTCACGGATCCGGAGAAGAAAATCTCGTTGACTTCCCAAACTATCCTATTGTTTGGCTTCAATTTTGAGAAGATGTTATTTGATGTTTCATCCTGACAGTTTTATTATTTATGACTTATATTTGTGTGACACAATCATACAAATAGCCTGGAAGATATGAGGGTTCACATCGTATCGGACAACAACATCGGAACCTAAAATAAGTTAGTGCTTAAATTGCACAACCTGACTGTACAAAGGCCTAAAAGATAAAGTGAGGATTTATGTCGCGCTAGGTAGACTACCTCGAAGTCCTATGGCTTGTTATTTAAACTACGGAAAGATATGTTGTTGTAGATCGCCATCCTCCACCTGTTGCTTCTCCATCGTGTTGCCCACAAAGACTTGCTCCAAGCTCCAATTTGTAACGAATCCAAGTTTAGTTTATGTTTTGTATTTGCAAGTATAATTATTGTTAGGTCTCAAGGGCCCGGTGTGCCTCCTGACATATGTTTTACTGTTTTCTACCCAAGGAGTTTAGCAAGTGTCTTAAAGTAAATAATGCAATAAAAAGAACAGCAAATTGCAGAAAACTTAAACAAATTGCTAGAAAGTCTGGTATAAAGAAAAAAGAGTAAAACAAAACATGATGTCACGTATAAAGAACCGTGACTTATATGTGACATTGGGAATGTTCCTAATTGCCAATAGGATTTGAGTGTAAGGCTCAAGCTCAAATTTCGGAGCATTGCGTTTCACTGTAGGTTAAGTCATGGCGGGAATTTCACTACTTAATTTAATTAAAAGAAAGTTATGAACCACATCTTCGTGTATCCTTATGTTTAGTGTTTTAATTGACTTGTGGAATGAGGTTAAGTGCTTAATTTCATCATTCATTTGAAAATTAGGTAGAAGAACTCTCACCTATGGCGTGCTTCTAAAATCTAGAAAGCCTATGCCTCTAACCTGTGCTTGAAGTGATTTAAAGTGTTTTGTTTTCAATGAAATATTTTTCAACTGATCCTCAAATTTTTTTTAAGTGTTTCCCAAATAATTAAATCAGAAATTTTCATTTTTGACTTAACCATTATAACAAAAACAAATCAACGGAGGAGGCCGGCCTACTTCTAAAAAAGAAATCAACAAATCAAAGGGGCAAAATCACAAATGAATCGGTCTAAAGATGTTTAAATTCTTTCAAAACAATGATCAAATCAGTCTCAAAAGAAAGCCAAATGAATTCCCAACTCACATAAAACAACTTGCACAATTCCAAATTTTGTGTAAAGCCACTTTGTCAAAATTTCATAATTCTCAAGAAACATTCAAAACTCATATTTCCATAAAAATAAAAGAAAATAAATAAATAAATAAATAAATAAACTCATCGACGCTTCAGGATTCTTGCACTTAAAACGCCTAATTTCAGATTTCTCGTTTCTTTTTCACAAACCAAAGCAAAACCAACTGCAGGTTCAAATGATGCAAACTTCACCAATATTAGAATAATTCAATATGCCCTCTTTGCTCTTCAAACAATGTTTCAAAAGGAATTGAGGGTAGCAGCAAGTCTTTGCAAAAAGAACCAAGTATGCCAACCCATTTTTGTAAATATTCACATACTTACTTTCCACGTCAAGAGTATCACCCAATCAACATGAAGTACACTTTTCATATATAAATGAAGTGGCACATATGTAAAGAATTGAAGTTTAGAAATTAAATAGTAAATATAAAGGAATTAAGTGGTATATGTGTAAATCTGAAATCTTAAGTATAGAATCTGTAAGTGTTTGAAATTCAGCATATGCAACATTGGATTTGGGTGTTAAATATGTAAACAGCGATAGTGAAAAAGAAGTTATCAAAAGAATTTGTTAATGCAAACAAAGAACATTTACTTATCCCAGACTTTTGCTTGAAAATGGTGTTACCTTAGCAGGCATGGGTCATGCCTTCTGAAATCCCTACAAAAATACTTGCAAGCCCAAACAATATTCTCCACAAAACAATCCAGAGAATTAAACCACCATCTCCATGAATGAACAAATAATTCTTCTATGCCTGACTCTTCTATAAAGAAACAAGATATCCCAACAGCTAAGATTTAAGGGCTCAAGCTGGGGAGCAGTGAAATTATTAAGAGTAAAATCATAGAGAACAGGGAATATGCACATAATATCATAGAACTGCTTTCCCGCAGCAAGCTGCACTGAACAATCAGCATGAATAGATTTTAGCAAAAAAATAGCTTCACTGATCTTTGCCGTATTCTCAAGTAAAACACAATCAACAGTTTATACTCCAAGAAAACAAAAATAAAAACTAAGAAATACAATCTATCACTGTACTCATGGAAGAGCCAAACAACAAGAAAAATATCGAGCAGTCAAGCGAGAACATCGAAAAGTCCAGCCAAAAAGTGAGATCAATAAAGCATGACACAGGTCTCAAAAGAGAAAAGTCTGCCATAGTGACAAATCCTGCAGTTAAAACTCAAGCTAGGGAAATCCTCCACCTGCCCATGACCAACGTCTGAAGAGGATGGTAAGGGAGCAGCAAGCAGGAATATCGAGTGACAGAGCAAGAATACCGCACACCCAAGCAAGAACAAACAAATCATTCCGGCAAAGCATTGGGCAACGAATCCATACCTTGGTGTGAAAGCACAAGGACCCCCAATCGAACAGTCCCGAGCACACAAGAAAAAAAATGCACAAGCCAGTTGAGATCCAAAGAGAAAAAAAGGAAGAGCGCAAACGAGCCTGGATCAAACAAAGTCCAAACTTTTCAAACACCTTATCTCCCCCATCTCCTCCCCGAAACTTCAACAGCCTCAAACCCTCTCATTCCAACGGATTTTATAGACAGAGAGGAGGAAGAAGCGCACGTCGGCTGAAAAAAATAGCTCTCGGCTTGGGTAGTGCGCGTGAGTTTAGGGATTTAAGATTTAAGTGAAAAACAATTTTTTTAAATTAATTAATATTGAAAATCTATCGATTTGCACGTTATTTAATCTCGTTCGTAGTCAGATCAAAATTAATATTCTCCTTAGCTAAATTTGATGTTTCAGACGCTCTGGAGCAGTCCATTTCATCATCCGAGGTCGTTCGAACACCCTCGTCAACAATCGGATCAAAAATGTGTCGAATTCGATTTTATTAAAATTTCGAGTCTGCGATCGATCGTTTCAAAATTTTTATTGAAGTTTTTGGAAAAATAACGACACCGGCGATGCGAAATGTGGAAAATGAATGTGTCGATTGTTTGAATTGCAAAGTTCGTGCGCGCGAATGTGCAAATTGTGCATAAGGCTATCTTAGGGTTTAATGATCCTATAGAGACTTCTTTTGAGTTTCCTCCTGTTGGTTTCAACCACCTGTTGTAGAGGTTGATACCACACATGTGAAACTCCAAAAGAGTAAAGAAGCAAGTTGAATTTCTAAAATAAGGCGCGGGTCCCATTTCTAAGGTTTTAAGATAGCCAAAGGGAGAACCCTAGGGCTAGACTCTAAACCGTAAGAAGAAAACTAGATCTCACTAAAAATGAGGTCAACAAATGGATCCCCAATAGGTGTGGTGTGCAGGACAAGCATACCGCGCGTATTGGTTTTGATCGAAGAGATCAATAAAACCAACACAGACGTCTAAGCCGACACACTTAGAACAAAACGTAGAATTGAGTGATGTTTTCGCTGGGGAATCAGCAAGTGAAGTTTTTTTTTAGTTCGGAACTGTGAATTTGAGTTTCCTATAGGATCATTGATTTTGGACTTTAACTTCAATTTTGGACTTTAATTTTAATTTTGATTTCAATTTTGATTTGGATTTGAATTTGGATTTCGGGGGAAGACATGTGAAAATTTACGGAATTTAAAAGAATCGGACAACCTTGCACCGATCATGGAATTTGATTTGAAATATTGCGATAGGAGGGGCTCCTAAAGCAACGCGGAATCGTATGTAAAAATCCTCAACCTCTGGAATTTCTTCGAATTTAAAAAAATCTGACGACCTTGCATCGACCCTGGAATTTGATTTGAAAGATTGCGATAGGAGGAGCTCTTAAAGCAACGCAGAATCGAATGTAAAATTCTCAACCTCTAGAATTTCATGGAATTTAAAGGAATCGGACGACCTTGCACCGACCCTGGAATTTGATTTGAAAGATTGTGATAGGATGGGCTCCTAAAGCAACGTAAAATCGGATGTAAAATCCTCAACCTCTAGAATTTCTTGGAATTTAAGGAAATCGGACAAACTTACACCAACCCTGGAATTTGATTTGAAAGATTGTCATAGGAATGGCTCCTAGTGCAACGCGGAATTGGATGTAAAATCCTCAACCTCTGAAATTTCTTAGAATTTAAAGGAATCGGACGACCTTGCACCGACCCTGGAATTTGATTTGAAAGATTGCGATAGGAGGGGCTCCTAAAGGAACGTGGAATCAGATAGGAGGGGCTCCTAAAGCAACGTGGAATCAGATGTAAAATTCTCAACCCCTAGAATTTGATTTGAAAGATTACGATAGAAGGAGATCCTAAAGCAACGCGGAATCGGATGTAAAATCCTCAACTTATAGAATATCATGTGCACCATTGCAAAGTAATATAGAATCGAATGTTGAAATCCCCATCCTCTAAAATATTGTGTGCATCATTGCAAAGCAATGCGGAATCGGATATAAAATCCCCATCCTCTAAAATATCGTGGAAACTATAATTTAGGTACTGACCCCAAGTGCTGAGATTCTGTGAAAACAGAGAATTACTGAGATTTGCATAAATTTGCTGAGATTTCATGAATGCATAGATTTTGAAGAATCTTGTTGAGATTTGCAAATGCAAAGATTTTGAAAATTTTTTTGTTGAGTGCAGAGAATGTTTGTAGAAGTTTATGCAGTGCTAAATTTTATTAAAATGTATGTGCAGAGATTTATAAAAAAAATTATGAGATGCAGAGTTTTGCTTCAATGTTGACTCTTATTTTGTTTGGTGATGAGTTTTATTTTCTTACATTTGTTTTAAGATTTGGACTCAGTTTTAGGCAAACGTGGCATCTGAGCTTCTAAGAATAAGTCTTTGTCTCCGAAACATCACGAGGCACAGTACTTCTTAAGATATCGTCCACTGACAAGATGTGTTATCTCTAAGGACATCACAACTGAAGAGGCCGCAACTTTGTAGCTTCATTTGTAGTAGCTGTTTGCTTCGGCATTGATTCTGTAAATGTTGTTCAAGTTGTCTTTGAAAAATCGCTCTGGCGTTCTTAGAATTGTCATTGGAGTTGTATTTGTTGGGCGTTGAAGGATACAACTTCAGGGATGAATTTCCATTAATTGCTAATATCATCGTCATTTCTTTAAAACTTTCTTTCTGACCTTAAACAGATTTTGAAATTCCAACTCATGTGATTAAAAGATTTTTTAACTTCTAAATATATTTCTGATCAGTTAATAACCAACCAAAAGACTCGCAATCACTTAACATTTTATTGAATATAATATCAGAAGAACTTTCTTAAGAAAATTTTTAAGTTATATTAATTAGAGGAGAATTTGGACACCAATTTTTGTTATACGTCCACCTCAAGCTTCTTCTCAGGGAGACTATTCTTTTGTTTTGATTTTTTGGATCAAGCTTCACATCAAATCTTTTTCTTTTTTTTTCTTTTTTTTCTTTTTTTTTTCTTTTCCCCCAATTTTACTGAGAATTAATATACCTGGTAGAACATAATTTAAGAATTTTGAATGACTTAATTCAGACACCAATTTTTGATTTCATGCTCACATCAAGCTTCTTCTCAAGGGATTTTCACATAATTTTTTTTTCTTTTTTTTCCTTTATTTTTTGAGAATTACTATATCTTGTGAAACATATTTATTTTAAGGATTTTGAATGTCCAAACTCCTCTGACTAATTGTCCTCAAATATTTCTTAAGACAAATTCTGAGATATTATAACTCATTCAAAAATCAGGACCCAATCACTTGGCAGGAAATTAAAAGTCTCGTGATATCCCGAGTCAATTACTCACATTTCAACCACACTATCTTATTTTGAAATCAACTTAGGACCCAGTCTGAATTCTTTAAAATGAATGATCCAGTTATTAGGACATTAATTTCATGCTTTCCTGAAGTCATACTCCTATCAAAATATCCAATTTTTTCTTTTAGGATGATAACCTTTCCAAGTATTGAACAATTCTGGACAACGACAAACCTTTTCTTTTCTTTCATTCATTGTAGTGGGAGGGATGAGACATACTAACATCGATCCTGCTAGTATCCCCTTTAAACAAAAATAGTAGTACAATAGTAGTCAAGAGGCCTCTCGTCTGTTGTCAGTTGCACACGAATAAGTTGGAACAAATAGATCGACCGAAATCATATTGATCGAACCTCTTTTAAGTTCCTTTCAAATATTCTTTTGAGATCGTTATGTCCTCATTCTTGAAACTATCCTCAAGCAAGTCTTTGAAATTGCAACACTCCTCTATGGTGTGTCCAATGAACCTATGGTATGGGCAATATCTTGGATGTCCTTTCTTGTTGACCTCGTCTGGTTTCTTCAGTTTGGGCAACCTGAACTCAGGATTCTTGATCAAATTACATAACATCTTTCTCGGTGCTTCATCTTTGAAAGAGTATATATCGTTTGATTGAGTGTTCATGGTTGGAACTCTTCTTTCATCTGTCTGTAAAGTTCTCTGCTGAGATGATTGTTGAGCATTTTGACAAGGATGTTGGAAGGTTCGTTGACGTTGTTCAGCTCGTACTTGTAATTGTCGCTTTCCTCTGCCAACTACAACAACTGTCCTGAATTTCTTCTCAAATATCTCCATTGGTTCTAACTCCTCAACCCTTTTCGGAAAACCAAATTGCTAAGCTTCTCCTTGGAGCTTCCTGGCTTTGCTAAGCAACTTCTCGAATGTTCTGATTGTAAAACCTTTAAGTAAGAAACCTACTGGACCGTGAATGATCTTTAGAAGAATCTCAACTGCTTGATATTCTTGCAACTGCGGCTCAAATCTCATGCTGAGATTTCTCCACCGTAGGATGTACTCCACCAAGGTTTCATTCGGCTTTTGCCTCTCTACCAAAAGATCACCAACGATAATGTGGTACTGAATTCTGGCAAACCAGCTGACAAAAAGGTTTTCCATTTCTGTGAATGTCTTTACTGAGCCATTTGGTAGCTCTGCATATCAATCAAAAGTAACTCCGATGAGGCTACCTACAAACTAGCGGAACAAAAGTGCTTCATTACCTCCCGTGTTGTAGCAGCTTGCTCGGAAGTGTGCAACATGCTGACGAGGGTTTCTGGTCCCATCAAATGTTTTGAACAAAGGTGGTACAAAACCCTTGGGGTATTGGATGACATCAAACTCTTTGGGATATGGCGTACCCTTTACAGTTGATGTCGCTTCTTTTGATTGATCCAGAGTTTCTCTCACCTGTTGTTTGACCATTTGTTTAATTTCATTTTCATGCATTGGACCTTGAACTGAATCCTTTTTCATTTGTTTTTTGGAGGTGAACTCTTTTCTTCCATTTGCAACATGAATGGTCTCCGATTGGTTTGTCTCTGGATGTGTCATCTGTGGAGATTGTGATTGTCTTTGCGTTGTAATCATGGTGGTTGTCATTTCTTCAATTTTCTCTTCGAGGAGGCTGATCTGTTCGTCCCTTTGTTGGATGGCCCTTTGCCACTCATCCACGACTTTCTCTTCACCATAAGGCAGAGCGTCGCACGCAGATAACGTGGTCCGAGTCTCAATGACATTGATTTCTGCAGAATCACCCTCCATGTAATATGTTAGGTCGCAATTTTTATTTTCAATATCTTCTCTATGATCTTTAAACAGTTGTGTAATGTTGAATTGGAGCTTTTCCAAGGCAGAC